ATACTGACAGAGTGAAACAAAGGGGAAGTAACTCTAATAGACCAGAATGATAGTTTGCATGTCTGCTCCCTGTGGAGTCAGAAAATGCGATGCTTCATTCCACTTCCGGTCGCAGCGGCCCTGGATTTGAAAAAAATGCTGAGAAAGCAGTTAAATTTTTAAGAAATAAGCAAATGAAACAGAAATTGCGATTCAGGAAAAGGGTGATTCGGGGATCACCACTGATCAGAATTTTATGATGGAGGAGAAGTGCGTAATGGGATTCTCTGGTTATAAAATATTTATCCACTAAAAACATATTCAATCTAAATTATAATAGAGCGTTCTACATAGTGTTTAAATTAACATTAAAACTGTCAAAAGTAACAGAAGGCCAATTGATAGTTTGGTTTAAAAATGTTCAAAATCAATATTAATCTCCCAGCCTGAGAAATGCTCATTGAGTTCATACAATACCCTTTAGTTTAATCACACTGTGTTTGGTCATGTTAAACACACAATGTGCAATATGCGTATGGACATATTAAACACAAAATGTGTATGGACATATTAAACACACAATGAGTATGGACGTATCAACACACAATTTTATTACATACTTATAGGCCTAAATTGTCAGAAAATTCGGTATACGTAGTGCCCAACACGTTAGACCTACCACGTAGGAATTCAATCAAACTCAAGAAGGCTTTCTGTTCAGAGTCGTCATATTTTTCGATTGCATCAACTCCATATGCTACAAATTTTTCAAGAATGGGTAAATTTAAAACAGAATTCATTTCAACCAGTCCACACTCCAGACGTCCATCTTCTGAGTAGTTTCTACGGAGTCTACATGTTCCAAGCAAAGCATTACTACATTTTATAACGAAGTTGAAAAATCCAGGCGGAGGGGAATTAACTGCAGTGACAACCCATTTCAAACTTTGTTTCAGGTATGTTTCCTCATCGGACCCTTTATATTGAGCGAATTTCAGCCTATTTGACATTTCGGCCAAAATGCATAGAAGTAGTCTCGTTCAACCAAACTCTTGTTGCCTGCGCAAGCTACGCCGATTAGAGAGTCTGCTTTCGTTTTGTGACATATCATAACGAGGCTTACTGAGATTCTGGTAATTTATTTCATTGGTCAAACGTTGACACACCGTTTTTAACTTTTGAAGTCAGAATTTGAGTGGCCCAAAATTACATTGAATATTTTAATTCATTAAAAAACAACTGTACTAGGACCCGACCAGTGACCGTGAACTACCAGTGTCCGTGAATTTCACTTGATTGTTTTCACGTGCTGTTTCCCGTTATCCTGGTATGCGGTTTTTGACAGATCTTTATAAAAAAACCCAGAACATATCTCTTAATCCTGTGGATAAAAAGGTTTAATTTCTGATTAACTTGTTGGATCAACTAAATTTGCAGCATGGGGGATCAATATTTTGGTACTGTACCTTTCAAATTTTATGTCCCGACCGTTTTCCAAATGTTTACACAGCGTCTGCTAAATGACAAGTTGACGAAAGCGACCTCTGGCGGAAGGGGAAGTAACTCTTACATAGATGGGGTATTAAACACAGTTAGGGACACATATTAGTAACAAGAACAGGCCTAGGGCAATTGTGCATTATGTAGATTGTGTATGATTTTTTTTTTTTTTTTTTAGCAATGATGGTGTCAACATTATAATTCAAGCGGAGATCATTTTGATAATAGCGGAAAATGATCCACAAAAGTAAATACATGTAATGAAAAATAATGAAAAAGTACAATAGAATATATTAAAAAGAAAAACAAAAGTTAAACAATGTATAAAGCTTCATTTAGTTAATTGATATTGATTTAAGTGATTTAAGTGATCTAATGTTATGTTTACTTTGGCACGCATTATGCTTTGATATTTGAAAATCAAGACTTGTAAATAAGTCTTACTTGACTAGATACATCGGTCTGATGTAAACTACCAAAAGGTTGTTCACATGACAATAAGAATTTTATATTACAGCCAAAAAGAAAACTGTATACCAGAGATCAGATCAGATAGATGCAGCTGTCAGTGATGTCAATAGGAGGAGACTTAATCCATCCAAAGCTGCTATGGAACACGGGGTTCCAAGACAAACAATAGTTGATGCCATCACAAGGGGCAATACTATTAATAGTTATGGACCACCCAGGATGCTGACAACCAACGAAGAAGCTGCTCTGGTCGCTGATTGTCGATGCGGTCGCGCCTGTGTCTAATAGTGCATTAGCCTTCATGCTCTCAATACTGACGGTGATTTCATTAGAACTCCCCACAAGTTCACTTGTCCTCGCAGTCTTCATTGTAGCTGGTATCTCGGGACCTGTTCTATCAGCACCTACCGTCGGTCCCTCGGAGCAGGGGGCTGGAAGTTTAAATTATCCGGTAACACCATCTCACACCTCGCCTTCACATGTCCAGGTTGGTGACATCTCCAGCAGATAATGTCTGGCCGATCTCGTTGGTTCCCATTAAACCTTCCGTTCCCTCGGCTACGAAAACCATGTCCGCTAACCTGTTGTCCCTGACTTCTATTTCCACTAGGCGGATGTGACTTATCAAACTTCTGCTCCATACTCTTTATGGCGGTAGTAAGCTGGTTGACCATTGACTTCAAATCATCTGTATCTGGTGTCGTGTTAACTACCTTTGCTGTCGCTGGCTTCGTCTTAGAGTCGAAAGTATCCATAGCCCTCTCACGTGTCCTTTCTATAGATCTAATTGCAATGCAAAGTTCTTCATAGCTGCCAATAGCATCAGCTTTGTGCCCGGAAATCTCCCCCAAATCCCGGCGGAGTCCTGACCAAAACTTGTTGTGTAACCCCCTATTCCTCTCCCCCTGCGACAAAGACGAGTCTGCACGAGTCAATAACCCTTCCAGTCTACATGCCCAGTCTGTAACACACTCTTCTGGTAACTGGTGAGCTGAGTAAAAATTCTCCAGCAAAGTGTCCTGCTCATCGACAACACCATACAAACTACGCAGCTTCGCATTGATCTGAGTTGGCGTAGTCCGAGAACCTATCCGCATAACCGTCTCGGCAGCATTACCCTTCAATGACCGTCTAATTGACTGACCGATCACATCTGTATTCCTCCCAGCATCGATCAGGCACTGAACCTCAAACTGCCATAACTCAAAGGAAGAGGCGCCTTTACCACGTTCTCCAGAAAATGACGGAAGCTTGTAGAATCAAGTGTCAAGCGTAGAAGTAGATCTAAGCTCATCAACAATGTTGTCCCGCGCAGAACCACCACCAGCACCTTCCTCCTGCTTGAGTCCAGTCTTGGGCAAACCATCAGTCGCAACTAAAAATTCCAACATCATCTTCTGTGCCTTCATCAAATCTTCACCTTGGCTAGGCTTTGTCGACAATTTATGAAACATCTCGGCCATAGCTCTAAATGGGTTATCCTCAGATGACTCCTGAGGTGGAGGAAGGTTCAACTCTTTAGGATCACTCATGATGTTAACAATGTAAGTTACAATGTACCAAAAAGGTGACACACACGTACTAGTAGTATATTATTACAACTTTGGACAAAATTTGTTGGTAATATGAAATAATGCAAAGCAAAAATCAAAAATATATGCTAAGAATCGATGACAAGTAAAGGCCTAAAACATATTCCGCATTTAAATACCAACAGTAGCTTATACATTACAATGTAATCGTCCATATACAATAACGCAACAGGTTAACGCACCTGTCGCATGCTACTAACTTTACACTTCACTATATAAATACTACCAAAACGTTATACTGAATAACTCGGGCGTTATCACTAATCCAATAAAATAGCCGAGCTTAACGCTTATCATACAACCAATGCGGTTTGTACAAAACGGAATCACTTCAAAACCTACCTCTTCATAGACGAAGAGGGTCTAAATCCAGGGAGACAAACCCGTACGTGAGTACGTGACCAAGTAGCTAATCTTGCGCATACAATGCTACAAATAATAAAATAATGACAATTACTAAAGATGTACCAGTATCGGACGTTAACAAGAATGTTTAATATAATAGCCATGATGTAGACCACTAATCAAGTTAACCAAAATCATTGTGGTTAAAAATAACGAATAGCACAAAATGGCGGGAAAGTCAAATTTCAAATTACCGTATCAATTGAATTGGACAATTCCAATTAATTTATAAAGTATATAATTTACATCAGAAGTATATCAAAATGTTATCACATGTGATATAAATAATTTACAATCACTAAGATCTTATTAAAGTACTCACAATTTAGAATTCCCAGCTCACTAATAAGCCTAAGTCTGCACAATTGCATAACACGTCCGATACGGCCATAAACTTGTACGGGAGTGACAATGTCCCCAAAAGCGCGAGTGCCCACTGACCCATGGTCAATCTTACACAAAAATAGATTGACCCATGAACCTTGACAAACAGGTTTGCACAGGTGTCATTTGATATAAAGCAAAGTGTACATGTATATAGATACACTGTATAGTAAAAGCACAGCACTTAATACTCTGCTCTTAATGAAGAATCAAGTTTAAAAATAACCAGCTTTACAGGTAAAAGATATTACTGTCATTAAATAATGACACTGCTACATAAATACCATATTCAACAACCACTCGTTGTGTAACCTCTATTTATCTATAAACGATTAAAAATTGACATTTTATTATAATACCATATACACATAGTAATTGCCATCGTCGGATACCCACGGTTGATTTCGCTTCGGTACTCACTCATGTGATGAGTGAGTACCGAGTAATTGCATGTAAGAGTTATCTTTCTTGAAAAACTTCACAGTAGTGAAGTATAGAAAAATGAACACATGTGACTCATTGATAAAAAACAACTTAATTTATGCCTGGATTGCTTTGAAATACTTTAATATTGAGAGAACACACTGTTCTGTCAATAATAAACATACAATATTCATCACTTTAATATTAAACATTAGAATATGCTGAAATTGTGATACTGTCTCCCTTCATTGGATTTTCAACTAGGGATGTACTTCCTATTTCCGTTTATCAATACACTCCTATGACCTTAATGCGAATTAGATCTACTGCTGCTTTAAGATGAATGAATTGCTACCACTATGCATATGTAGGTGAAAGATGTTCTCAACTGGACTGTAAGGCTACAGGCGGTTTTATAAGCGACTAACTAAATTCAAAAAAGTTAAATTCATATGTTCATAAGAATATGAGTGTATTCATTACTCTTTTCACGAATCCTCTCTTTGTCAATCTCGTCTTCACAAAACGAAAAATATTTTGAATAAAACTCTCGGACGTTCATAAAGGGAGACTTTCCTTTGCTCGAGACAATTGTCAATGAGGAAATCGAGTAAAGGTGAATGGCTGCATGGCTATACATATAATACAAATTATAAAGTAACACAATCTCCAATCTGAAATGCTGTTCCCACTTCACGTTCATAATCGGATTATATTTAATCACATTGGACATGAGGCCACACAACTTTTTTCAAACTTCTACATCAGCAAATTGTTCTTGTTTATATTGCTTCAGGAATCCGTCTTTGGGTTTTTCTATCTTAGTTTTTTCAGTTCTTGTATGCCATACCAGCACCTGAAGGACAAAACGACGACACACATAGTTACAATACATTTGCAACCGATCCACATCGAATGAGCACCAATGATATCACAATGACAATCTATGTTAAATTTGTTTAACAGGCCAGAAAAAGGAAATTTAACATCTTGTATACTTTATATCAGTATTGTAGTTTTAGTCAATAAAAGCATCACACAATAGTAGTAACTATTGTTAGTTTGTTTACCTTACTGAATCTACAACAAAATTTTCAAATATGTGCTTCATTTCTCTTGATTATTGTACATTCTACCACGTTTGCGATGTAGTAATCTTGATCTGCTTAATCCTGTCAAGCTCATTGTTAAAATGTTCCCCTGAACTAACCGTGAAGGGGACTTGAAAAAGGGTTCGTAAATCGAATGCTGATTTCATATGTTGACGAGCGATGTCGATAGAATGGCGGATTTGATTGATTGAAATAAGACAAAATTGCAAGACTGTATCAACATTAACACTCATTAGATAGCCTTTTATAGTAACCTGTAAAATTAGTTTAACTCGAATACCTACTAGATTTGAGCCCTTTATTGTATTGATATACCCTTTATTATGTCGGAATTGTCATCCCCCTTCAAAAAGCCTTTTTATCAAATACATGATACGTAGGATATGCTTTGTTCGTTCTGTACAATACTCCGTCTTTATCCTTGACCAATAATGTATTGAGGGTTTAGTCTGATACAGGGCAGCTGTGGCAATCATATGGTATTCTTTGTACATCGGCTTGGAGTTACCTTTCCAACGGTCAAAACACAAAGCTTTTTCTAGCGTTAGCCACAAAGGCATATATTCATAGATACCTTGGTACATCCATCCGCTCTTGGTTCTAAATCCTGAATCTTTGTCCCAAGAGCTGTAAGAAATGAGGTCTCCAATGTTCCTGGTAACATGGAGTACGAAAATTTCGTCTTTGTGTGGTTTAAAATAATATTTATATTCACACCAAATCCTGCCATATCAATCGCAAAATTGCGCTCTGGCATATACATTGCATTCCAGCCCTTCACCTACAAATTGAAAAGAGTGAGAAACAATGTACCATTTTTTCATACATATATTATATTCATTGCATATGAGATTGCGAAAACGAGCTTTAAACCATTTAATGTAAGCTGAAGGTGAAATCTGTCAGAGGAATTTGATAAGTGTCATATCAAACATATACAAACTTAGTATACATGTATTTTGTATGATATTCCATTAACAACAGCTTGTGTGAATATTCGTTACAAACATCGTTTCACAACATTTAACATATTTACCTTCTAATTTAAACAGGTAATGGTAACATTTAAGTGTCAATTTTACCAGCTTGCTGACGAGTAAAAACGATTTATTTATTACAAACTTAGTATACATGTATTTTGTATGATATTCCATTACATGTAACAACAGCTTGTGTGAATATTCGTTACAAACATCGTTTCACAACATTTAACATATTTACCTTCTAATTTAAACAGGTAATGGTAACATTTAAGTGTCAATTTTACCAGCTTGCTGACGAGTAAAAACGATTTATTTATTAGCTGTATCGTCATATTTCCTTCAGCGTTAAGCGCGTTTCGGTTTTGCATTCACGTGGCTGTTCAGAATGATATCATCTATATAGTGGCTGTTCAGAATGATATTATCTATATAGTGTCTGTTCAGAATGAAATTATCTATATAGTGGCTGTTCAGAATGATATTATACATTTAGTGGCTGTTCAGAATGATATTATACATATATAGTGGCTGTTCAGAATGATATTATTTATATAGTGGCTGTTCAGAATGATATTATCTATTTAGTGGCTGTTCAGAATGATATTATCTATATAGTGGCTGCTTTGATGCTCTGTGTTTGAACTGGCCGTTCGTCTGAAGAAGTTGACATAGTACACATTGTACCGCAGTAATTTCCTGTGAATGTACAGTAAATTGGACGCTTTTAAAAATCTAAATGTTTAGAGAAGAGAGAAATTCACTGCCAGATCAGGATTCGAACCCGAAACCATTCTAATCCGAGACCATTCTAACCCCGTTCTACCTTGACGATCGACCCGGTCCAGTTCCGATATACAAAGCTCTGCTTTTGGGGGGTATTCTTGTGAAGCATGCTCTTTCACTTACAGGTATAAAAAAGCGTGCTATGTGTTGTTTGTATTTTATTCCTTAATTGCATATGAGTACCATATATATGAAATAGATAACAGTTGGAAAAAAAGTATGCACTTTTATCTCATTACTCGATTAAAAACCAATGCAATATTGAAGTTAGTTTATTGTGTTCCCGTTTCATAGCGTGCCGTCTGCTCAGCGATCAACATATTGTTACAATGTAGGCCTCATCCTTAAATATTTAAGTCGTTTTTATGTATAACTCTCGGGCACTCTGCTGGAACCGGTTCTTTACAAATACTTTTGCAAAATTCCTTATTTAGTTCCCACTGTTTATCCTCCTGGTGAGAATAGAGTAGGAAATAACGGGAGTCATCAAAATGTTACTATTTTTTTTTTTTTAGAAAAATATGATTTAACATGTTGTAAGTATTTATCTATCGCAATTCATCTTCATAGTTTATTTGTCAAACATGTACCTCATGGACGTTAAAAGCCACAAATGAACTTTGTGTTACTCTCAGATTCCCGGATACTGTAGAACAAACAATAAACTCCAATCGTGTGGTACTATTTTGTATTAGACTTGAAGGTAAGCGTAGACGTGTGCCTAGCTCAGAGGCTTACAATGAAACTGCCTTGTTACATACAGGATACTCTCAATATACCTCTACATGACAATTAATTACACTAAACAATAACCAGAAGAAAATAGGCGTGAAATAAAGTTGTGCCTCCCTTTGTCCGTAGAGGTCATCAATTAAGCTTATCTGACATATGTAAACGGCCATCAAGCCAGGTGCCCTGACAGCTGTACAATTTATATCTCCCTGCCCTGGGTAACAAGACAGCCTATAATTGATAATAACTGAAACAGCAATTAATTTACCATTTGACTTTCAGGTCATTATTTCACTCTTAACAAACTTAAATACATTATAGCCTGGTAGCATTTGATTAATTAAGTGTGAGTGTTTTATGGTGAAACAAATATGTATCAACATTATTTGCTTTTTTTTAAAAAGCATTTGCTCGCTATACATGTAATGAAATATTCATCCATAGTTCATTTTAAAACTGAAAGTGACAATAACATCAGTTGATTTCGTTCGGTGGCAGATATAACACCGCACGCAACGAAGTTGTAATACTGACCTTTCCATTTTTGACAATAGGCGATTCATGTTTTAAACCTCCGACTAATCCTACTGGCCAAACTGACACTCGTTGTGTGTACCGCATCTTAAATGAACAAAGATGAAAACAAAATGAAAATACAAAAACAGCCAGGCCTTGGAAAACAAATTCAGTGTGACTTGTAGTATGAATTTCAATCAGTACCACATGTAAACTGGGCAAGTCAATTTGTAGTAATTAACAAACAATATAAACTCAACTAAATATAACTGAACGTAATTTAATACCGATTATTGCTTGACGCAGTCATGACGACTCCAAATATATATTAAAGTAATAACAATTTCACCATGCACACTACTTTATATCTAGTAAGTCAGGTTAGTGTTCCAGACTGGGACGACGGTTACAACTATGGGTATTATGCACAATGGTTACTAAACAGTTTTATTTTCAACATTAATGTTATCGCACGCAATGAAGCTATATTAAGATTATTTCCAAGGTAATTGGAATACAAATGAAATAAAATAATCAAACCAACTAATTCGCTTTCCACATCATAGAACTCAGGAAAACATGACGAAATGAGTGCTTCACTCAGAGACCCTTGGACATGTTTCGGAAGGGTATGCGCCTTTTTGTTTCATCTATGACACGTCATATAAATGTATTTAACTCCAAACAAACCAATATCACCAGCCATATTTAGATTTGAAATCCATTATACGATCAACAATTCAAAGAGAATGGCAACATCAATGGTCTCCTGAGACCGACACCAAAGTTGTATTAAAAGTGCAATCAAATCTTTAACTTTGTCTACTCGGAGAGACTGGAGACAGGCGGTTGTCCCCTCCCACCTACTCGGAGAGACCGGAGACAGGCGGTTGTCCTCTCTCACCTACTCGGAGAGACCGGAGACAGGCGGTTGTCCCCTCCCACCTACTCGGAGAGACTGGAGACAGGCGGTTGTCCCCTCCCACCTACAAGCCACGCATATGACTCTCCATTTACAGCGGAGACATTTTTAATAGAGTTTAGATACATTCGTGAAACGTGCCCAATGTCATGGACATGAAAACCCTTTTCACTTCCGCAGACTTTGAGGCATGCAATTACATAAAAGACATTGGTCTGTTTCACGAACTGTATCTCCATTAACCGTCATAACTCTATTTTCGGCATTAATATATATCACTTTCAATCTCAATCTTTACAAGACATTTTTAACTATTTTTTTTTATATTTTACCCCCTTGTACTTTTTAATCTCTCTAAGCTTTTCCTGCTGCTGATTTTATAAGATATACTACGTTTTATATAAATGGTTGCCCCATAGTAAAATATGTTCCTGACACTAACTGACCATAGCTGTCGATGGGCTGTTAAACTCAAACAAACAAACAAACACACAAACAATAAAATAAAAACATAACATAGTAGTATGACCTGGAATCAAAAGTCTCAGCAACACGTTTTAAGGATCCCTGTCCCTCTGCAGGCAAAATAGTTGAGAAATCCATTGTTATGTTTAGTATATACAGTTACCTCCCTTTAATTCACATGTAATATAACTGTAGCCCACTGTACCACGATACGTCCTTTTACTGGGTAGATCAGTGGTTAGAGTGACAATAAAATGAAATTAAGACCTGGGATGGAGAAACTGCTCTTGCCTGATGAATATCTTTTGTTCATTTCATCTGTATACTATTCTTTTAGAATGATTTTTCAAAGTCGTAGCAATATCGGGAATATAAACGGTGCTAGGTTTAAGTTTTTCTCTTTTGGTACAGTAATCCTTTAAGGATTGTAGCCACGGTTTTTCATTATTTCATATTTTACGACCATTTGATGCAATATTACGTGTAGTGACGAGACCCCGTCTCTCGCGGTACTCTCGCGCTACTCTGATGATACACAGGCAATGGCAGGTGACGCCCCGTCATTGTAAGGCTAGTGAATATGCATATTTTGAACTCAATAATGTTCTTCTCCGATTGAGAAGTTATACATTTAAGCATGCATCACTGAAATCTAATTCCGTGCCTGCATCAACTACATTGAACGTAACTACACGCTGAGAGCTAGTAACACACAGTTTACACACCTAGATATCTTACCTGTGAATAAAAGGTATGTTAATTACCTGTAATTCTCACCAATTAATACTATATCCAATGGGCATTTACGATACCTACATTGTACATGTACCTGTGAATTAACAGGTGAACTAATCACCTTAGAGGTGTTACCTATGGATGTCATGGCCAAAGGGCATTTATTACGACACGCGTTTCTTTTTGTCCCTAGCGTTAGAAAAAAATATTGTTGAAAGGATTCAAGTAAATTTCAACAGCGTTTAGCTGTATTTAACATGCGTTTTTATCTAAGGCTAGTAATCTGGACCGAAAACTGATGATGTCAACAAGGTAAAAATGTATTTGAAGCATATACGATATTAGTTTCTGTGGAGGTTTCTGAATACTTAAGTTTTCCTACTTATTTTTGTAGTAATGGTGGTGCTGCTATGACATTAAGTGAATAGTTTAAATTCCAAAATGAACGTTTGTTTATCAGCTTTTTTAACAAAAATATATCTTCAGGGACGTAGCCAAGATCTATTTTCAGACTTGCACGTTACTGACTTAAGTGAAATGGACAAAATATCATGAAGTTTGGAAGGGCCATTTTCGATTTCATATCCCGATTTCAGCCGACATCTAAAGCAATATTTCAACTAAACAAATATTTTAAGCTATCATAATATTCACACTTGTTCGTGACAGTGACAGTTTGATTGACACTAGACATAAACTGGTTGTTAACGTATATACGTGCATATACAATTAAACTATACTGCCCGGTGCTTTTACTTTTCAAGTGATCTACTTTTGCGATTATGACAAAACCAAATCGAAAAATAGTATATGCGTTCCATGTCTACGTGCTCTAATACTATATCAAACTCGGATGCAAAACTTGTGTGGTTAAGTGGACATGTAACGTCGCATGGGGTATCAAGTAGACATGTATACATATAGAAGGAATACATGCGATTTATCAGCAGATTTCAGAACATTAAAATAGATTTCATTTGCATATATATGACTTTAAAAAGTCACTTCATTAAACTGGTACTGACGTCATATAATTTTGTTTTAAATCAAGTAATATAGGGAGTTTTCATTCTGTGTAGCCACTGTGCTATACAGACGAATTTCACATAGGTCTTACGTCCTCCAATGCAAATTTTTACGTAATTAGTGATTTGTCTCCGTCCTGTCTTTAACCTCAATTGATAGAGAATTCTATTAAGTATGTAGTTCATACCAATAATCACACTGTCAGACGTGTCCATTGAAACAAATCCGTATATAGTGACCTAAACGTGCCACTCTGACGTCACAATTACCACGTGACCCGTTATCTCATTACAATTCTCACAAGAAAGGAGCTGTCACCTTTGATTGCCCATATCGGTGTCGTCTAACGTAGCATACATTTGGTATTTCCTATATACAGGTAAGGTGTTGGGTGTATGCTAGGTGATATTTGGTGTCAGTTAGAGAACAATAGGATTTAATTACATGTAAACTATAGTCTGTACTATAAAGTGTCTTACCAAATGAATATGAACGTAGACATAAAATTGATTTCTGGTGTTAAATTTTAGTTATTTATTATCTTGATTCCACTTCATCTATTATAGTCTCCATCATAATAATAGTGAATTTCAAATTAAATCCTAACTTTACATATTATTTCTCTGGTCAAGGTTGTTTCATCATTAAACCCTTTTTAAATAAATTGGTCATGTAAGCTAGTTTTCAAAAAATATAAGTTCAGCGCGAGTTACTAGCTTTATTAATAATAATAATAATAATATGCAACATTTATATAGCGCCCTATATCATTTATAAAATTACTCTAAAGCGCTTTACAACATATGGATAATAGTTATGGTTATACTTGTGAAAACAAACAACAAAGGCTTCCAATCACTTTTATACATTTCAGCAAGCAATGTGCACATAATTGAACAAATATAAGGGTGGTATTTACATGACGTCTTTGCAAAGATTCTAAAATGCAGACGTGAAGAGGTAAGTTTTGATGTTCCTCTTGAACTTGTCCACGGTATTTGACTTTCTAATAGCAGATGGTAAGCTATTCCACAGCGTAGCCGAAACCCTCCCAAAGCATCTGTTTCCGTAGGTCACAGTACGAGAATTTGGGACACACAACAAAGATTCTGACTCCGACCGCAGTGATCGTGACGGCTGATACAGGGTAACAATCTCCTGTAGGTATTGAGGAGCTGTTCCATTCAGTGCCTTGTATGTGTACACCAGAATTTTGTACTGCAACCTGTATCGTACAGGTAACCAGTGCAACGAATAAAGCACAGGTGTGATGGGCTCTCTCTTTCGAGTACGATTAACTAGCCGTGCTGCAGTGTCCTGGACCCTCTGCAGACGACTAGTTACTTTGTCAGATATACCACAGAGCAGGGCGTTACCATAATCCAACCGAGAGGTAACAAGTGAATGCACCAAAATCTTGCATGCATCTGAAGTTAAAAACTGCCGAATACAGCCAATGTTCCTGATCTGGTAGTAACAGGATTTGTCAATAGCGTTCACTTGTTTCTCCATGTTCAGTGAATTATTATTGATATAATGTGATCATTTAAAATGACAACAACGGGTCATTGTTAAGTTAACTGTATATCATATTGTACACATTACTCCATTATTGATGCAATATAATGGTAAACACATATTCAAAGTAGTTTTCATTAAAATTTTACTATACCTACGGTGCTATTAACCAAAACTTAATTACGGTATATCTTACGAAGTATATTCCTATAAAGTTTAGAATACATGTATGTCTCAGTAGATTAAATACTTCTTCGCATTCATTGAGACTGGAAGATGAAAAAATATTCCTTCAGAACAAAGACATTGTAATGAATATAACTCCACAGACATGAAAGATGAATTTCGCTTTCTGTTAATTTGTAGTAAATTTCAAAATCTTAGAGTGCGGTTTTCCTTAAGACTATTAAATTCAGTGATGAAGTGTCAAAAATAGTAAACAGCTATGTGATGCAAGGGAAGTTTATCTTTGGAATAATCAGAAACATTTACTTAATCATATTGTGTATAATGTAAATAATCTATATATACATTCTCTATCCATCGATTTTTGTACATCATGTACCTCATATAATGGGCCAATAGCCCAATCATTGAATCAATGTTGACAATATTGACATTTGTAATTCTATGAAAAGTGAAAAGTATAATTATTTTTCCTATCTACATTTTATGTCCAAACAAAATCAGGAAAAGTAAAACAACATTCAGTCAACTGTTATTGTATCGTTTAAAATTTATAGATAATGCATTACAGAATTTTAAACAATCTTTGATGTTAACATAAGTTGATGAGGCTTTACTTGATCAACAATAGTTAAAGATTTTAATTACATGCAGGCGGCTAGTACTGAACTTTTTATGATAACTGTAAAATCGTTATTATTTTCATGTAAAATAAACGTATCCTTATATATATATTTATATTTCATCTACTATTGTACCACGTGCCATTATAATTCTTTACAAAAAAAATGGAATATTTCTCAGATTAAAGAAGACATAAGTTCTTAAAAATAATTTGTATTACACTACCATCTACATCATTTTGAAACAGACTATAACCAAATTGTCACCAAAGTGTGAAAATTGAAATGTATGCTAGGTGAGACTAGGTATTTTAGAGATGTATGCTAGGTGAGACTAAACCCCTATATCTATTCCGTCTTTGCGTATTGCAGAGTTATCTTCTCTTAGGAGCAGGTATTCATTGTTACGTCACTTGTTTGTGAGAGTAACGTCATCAATTTTTGAGAAAACGACGTAATTTTCTCACACAAACCAATGACGTAACAATCAATATCTGCTCCCAAGAGAAGATAACTCTGCAATATGCAAAGACGGAATAGGTAACGGGTCACTTCCGAACTCGCGTTGATAGATAATTGGGTATTCATTTAAGTATATTACAGGTGTTGCTTATTTTTTACAAAATGAAAAAAGTCTTCAAGATCTCCATTTCCGTTTTAAATAAATATTTTTTTCTATGGAATTTTGTTTCCAGATTTTTTCTAGTTATCTGATTTCAGAGCAATTCGATATTAATTTATCCAAAAAGTGCGGGCACTTGATTATCAAGAAACTGGTAGAGTTTTGAAGCATAGTTCAAGTTTCAGGAAACCTAAAAGTTCATATTTTCAGAATTGCTCACTAAACTGAATTCAAACAGATTCCTATTTTATCTTACCTCCTCGAACAGCTTCCGATTGTAAGTATTGTCGTCATCAGCGAAGTACACAACACCTTCATCGACTTCAGGATCCAGGTTTGTCCTAATCCAATCAAGACCGGCATTTCTCTGCAGCACACCTCGAGGTAGTTCGGTGCCTCTCAACCGCTTTTCTCTGGGCGTTGATATGTTTAAATGTGTGTTAATCACTCCACATGTCTCTAGAAAATATGTTACCAGTTTGGTTTTCTCAACTGAGTCTTCCACAACGATCCAGTGAAGGTGGTGCACGTGAAGTAAAGTGTTTGACATTCGAGTAAGGTCTGCTTTTTGTTCTAGACGATAATATGTCGGTGTTATCACGTAAATAGTTGGAATAACAGGGCTGACATACTGAACCTGGTGTACCCATACTCTTGTTACTGGCAAGTAGAAAATAGAAATCATAAACATAAATAATGGTTTTGTCTTTTACTTACGCTACTTCAATATTTATCTGTGGTAACGATCTAATATATGACGTTATTGTTCTTGAACAATGGAAATAACAATAAGTAGTATGTTTATTTTCCCTATTCTATTGCACATGTGTATGTACATTGTAGAACACACATGTCATTTTAAAATCTTATTCACCAATCAGATTTTTAGAAAAATATGATTTTAAGTATTTATCTATCGCAATTTAACTTCATATCTTTGTGCAGTCGTATGTGAAAGACGATGCATTCTTACATATTGTTGCTGTGGAATGAATTTGTTTTATTTAAATGCATGTTGAAGCCATTTTGTAAACGTAGTATTACCTGTCTCGTGCTTAATGCTTTGACTATCAATACACTCTGTATAAACTGGGTGAGGATCCTTTGGATCGGTATCTGTTTATGGGCTGCTTATAACTATTTGGGTTGTTGGAGTATGAAAAAGTTGATATGTCACCACCGTAGGCATTGTACAAAAGAGAGACATCAGAAATGTATTTACTTTAGTACAACAAGTGTCAAAGTAAACCGATGTGCCGGGGAACGATTGTGGCCCTGTTTCCCTCGGGGAGAAGGTCTTGCCTTGATGAACTAAGGGTTCATCATGGAAATCAGCCTCCAGCCATTTAGCGTACGAACAATAATAGACATAAGACGTGTTAGTGGGATTTCATATGACTTTCTTATTTTTAGTATTTCTGTTATTTACCTTTTATCCACTGGTGTCTTATGCTATCTAAGCTTTTGTAAGTAGCTGTATTTGTAACTAGTAATGTTATTAATATTTGTAAGATAATGGGATATTCAAGAAAAAATCATCAATCCTTAACATTAGGAGCCGCATAATTTTCCGGCCAAGTTAGAAAAACCCGAGGGTGGAACTTCCCCAGCCTATGCCCTAGGGTATAAAAGAGTATTTTACTCTCATTCCAACCACCAGAATCAGCTCAGGAACTCAATTGGACTGGCTACTATTTTGAATTTTTCCCCGAGAGCTTTATTGACGATAATGATTCATCCCATCTTTCTTACTTGTACGGTCAGTTAATTGTAAAAGGTTTCGTTTTCATCATGTCGTCTTTTCGGGGATGGGGGTGGGGGCTTATCATGTTATGTACTAGTATTTATCGAAGGAACGGGATAGGTGCGCACTTTCCATTCCCTTTTTCAACACCGTAACTCTTCATGTAAAGTTTCTAGTAGAATATTTTAGTGAGAACGTTTANTATATATATATATATATATATATATATATATATATATATATGCAAATGTGATTACACTAAGAAGTATTTCGACCAGTGGGGGTAGGCATTAGTGGTTGGTTAGTTGGTTGTGGTATGTAATATAGCAATGAGAAACGAGCTAATATCCCGCTTATCTGGTATGATATCATTTAAATTTAATTGTTTTATATTCGGACGAATAAAATGAGGGAGAATATGATAAAAAATTTTTTTTTGCGTTTCATCGAATAGCAGGAACAAAATTGTCTGTGCGTTTCTTTTACTCATACGTTATGAGTTGGCAGTATGCAAATGGATATTCAGGAGTATAGAGGGCGCTCTTCAGGTAGGGCGAGTAAAACAAGTACATGTAGGACGTGATTTGTCATATGGGTTTCGAACATGTGTATGTGGTTCTAGTCATTCTAGCTTTGAACCGCTAGCCGGCTACACGGTTTTCAAGCGAAATTAAATATGTTAAAAGCTAACTTGTTCCCAAGGACCCGATGGGCCAAATGAGCGGCGTCAGTCGTCTTCCGCCGCTAACTGTTTTAATTAAAACAACTCCTTTTGAATAGGGCTACGATGTATGTGGTTAGTAACTGCTCAGACGGAAAGCTACGAAGTTTTGTCCTGATGAATGACCTTCACCCACATTCAAGGTTACAGGAGTCAAATGTGTTGAACAAAATTAAATATCATCTTCTGAATAACCAAAACGCACAAGTCGGTGATATTTTGCATATTAGTAGCATTCTCAGATGACGATCTATCACTTTTGTTCCTGTAAATGATGACCTTGTCCGACTTTCAAGGTTACATGTGGTCAAATATGTATAAACCTCATCTCAGTAAACAAAAGGGCTTGGGTGGTATTATTTGGCTCAAGGTTCGTACATTCATCACGTACGGCATTTATATTTTTATTTTACCTTTTATCATAAAAATGATTGTTAATCCCATCATCGCGATGACACAGCATATAAACAGCTTCTTCAAACGAACCAATTTCATCGAAACTTGGTATTTGCTAATGACCTACAAAAAGGAAAATAACACAATTAGGTCTTTATCATCACTGTTTGAAATTACTTTGTACATGTTGCTGATCTATTCTTAAACCATAGATTGATATGCATTACAATTTAATATGATTAACATAACACGCATCCATTTCGAAGTGTATTTTGACATGTTTTTTAATAAGACGGTAAGTATAGGCTGATTCACTTTATAACAAAACTTTGATTAAAGTTACGAATTTATTGGACTATCATGCTATTCGAAAACTGGTCGAAGTGGTCGGAGATGTATTGCACAAGTGATAGTACACAAACCCATCAATTGTGTGAGCTGGAGTGAAACCGTGAGGGGAGTAAGACCACGGCGAGGCAATGATGACGGACTTGCCTTCGTTTGTTTGTATTCTATTCGCGTTTTCCTTTTCTACGTCGTTTATATCGGTTAAGGTGTTTTTTGCATAGGTACAAGACGTTTTATGTTGCCCTAACTGAACTCCTCATTAAACAAATGCCTGGGCGGGGTGTCACCATATCAGGTAGTTTGATAGAGGAAATATTTATGGTCGGTTTCATTTAATTTGTTCAAAATGCTGCAAAATGTTCAAATACCATTGTTAAGATTTGAACTTTAACTTACATACATTTTGATTAAATAGATAAAACAACAGAATACCGAGGTCTGAATAAAACCTTAGAATTAAAAATCAGTGATCCTATGGTATGATATGAACAAAGGAGAGATTTATATATATAGTTTAAGAATAAGAGATGGTATTCTGAATGGGTCAGCATATACTTATATAAACAATTTTATAGTATCATTTTTTTTTGTATCCGGATAGCATGTGCATAATATAAGTAGACATATATCAATTTGCAAACTTTGAAATACAATAATTAAACTCGTCTTGTTAGTTTTATTTGCAATGAGTTGCTTGACTCAATATCCATCTCACCTGATCAATTTTCCAACTTAATCATTTCTACGGGAACAAAACAGTTCATCTTTTTCAATGTTTCGATTACGAGTTTATTAATCTCAAAGTGAGTTTTACTTGTTTATCCACTGTATTCAGTCCCGGATAAATCCTAATTTTGTTGACTGTCAAATAAACACAGATGTCAGATGTAATATGTGAAGTAACACGATAGGATTATCTATAGATATAGTTGTCGATGAAGGCGGAGATAGAGTAACACAGCTTATCAATCGTGTATTAATACAGTTGGCAGGCAGTCTTTCACCACCAATCAAAGGTAAGGATTAGCCTACATGTATGTGAAAAAACCCAACATCTTCCATAGTTTGCAGATTAAAAAACTCAAGCATGCAGGCATGCACGCAAGCACACATACCCGCACATCCCTATTCCAACACACACCATGTTCCCAACATACAGAAAGAAATAGGTACCTTTGCCTAAACTACCCCACAATCCTTTGCCCTGTAAGATATCTAGTTTTTGTTCATGGAAAGGACGTCATTGCTGTTATGTTATGAGGAGTGTTATCAAATCAATTTGCCTTTGTTAAAGGCAGTATCTTAGTACTAATAAAAGGTCCCAACTCTATGCATGATCGGCCGAATACACAATCATTTGTAACCGTTAATAAAACAGTTGAGGTATTGCCATCATGTGGCATTATATGTAGCAAACAACCTTTAGTTGTGCTGAGGCAACATGATCTACCCATTGTAATTTAGAGTATGTATTAGTGATAATATAAAATCAATTTACTTACAATCAGTGGTTAATTATGGTTTTTCAAAAGATCGATCATCAGCTTGGATTTTATAAAGTCGTTCATGTTAATATATATATATATATAAAGGACAAACATGGGGTTAGAATGGCGACTGCTCGATGTACTTCAATAGTAATCTTCTTTCGAAAAGTCGAAAAGTAATATGTATGCCGATTTGATCAGGAACGCCCTTGACATGTTTATTAACACAATTGACTTGTTTCGTTATGCAACTTATACTGGTCATTTCATTAGCTACATTTATAATATGATTATTTTCAATATAGTGTCATGCTTCAATAGTGTCTTCAATTAAACTGCTGTTATTAAAATTAAACTTTTTTTTTTATATCAGTAAAGAGCGTTATCACATGTATCATATTGAATAGTTATAAATGGAACAAAATGGAATTTTGATAATAGAAAAAAACAACTTTAGATTTATATCCTTTATATGAGCCCATTTCTGTTAAATCAGTTACATGTAAGCAGATGTAAAAGGCTTATGTTAAGTTATTCACGCTAGATATTTCCCACCTTTAAAAAAGAGAATTGAAATTGGGAAATAAATGGATAAGCTATAAGCTACATTTGTACTAAGTCTGTAAAAGATCAAATTATCAATTTGTCAAATGTTTTATGACTACCATTTATATCATTTAAAAACCTTTTTCTATATTACAAAGTTATTTCCTAAGCTGAATTGGACATTGGTTGTTTATTTCATATACCTTGATGATACATAAACGGTCGCCTGTGTTGGCCATGGCTGATTACCTGATGTAGTTATATCATACAGGTATCCACGACCAAAGAGCCAAACGTTACGCTTGAACGTATGCTGCACTGGCCTTTTAATATTAAACGAGTAGTAGGTAGGTCAGTAATATATAATTGTACTGTCATGAAATCATTCTCCAACAACACCTTTCCCGATAATATTGATGGCGAAGGTCTTGATTCTCATCTATAAGCTCTATTCTCTCAGAAAGTGTAGTACATTTGATCTCCAAACTATCTCTATCTGAGCTTTCGATGGTGCCACTTCTTTGGCTTCCTGGTCATTTCAGAGTTCTTGACCGCGTTGCTAGTACGAATAAAATCCTGCTCGGAGATGCTAAAGTTACTTTGGGGTTTGAGTCGAGGGAAACTATGGGATGGTGGTATATAAGGTAGTTGCTGATAGGGTATGCTTCCAATATATTGCGTCATGGGAGTTGGCGGCAACTGAGGGTCATAAATGATGCCAATGGAGTCATTAATGTTAGGAGATGTCGGGTACCAGAATAAAAGATTGACAAATCGTGGACAAATTATTGTTTTTTCATTCATTTTCGTGCAGCGTACCTAAAGGAGGAGCTGTGCTGGACAGCATACACCGTGGCCTCTTGGAATCATTGACTTTCGCGCTGGTAGTGTTATCTGGCGTATCGCACGTAACTTAACACACAGTGTTTACGTTCCAGTAACTACCAGGTTGCATACATGTAATGTAAATCACAATTTGCGCACAGAATAATAGGAATACCTAGTTACGTGTGGTTTTGTGCACTCAGGCGATATGCATATATGGCAGTGTTTACAGTTTACACAGGCAAATAACTACTTAAATAGTAGAGGAAAAAAGGAACATTGAGATGTGTTTGCGATAAACGGGGTTGTAAATGAAAGGATGGGCATCATATTGTGATTTATCTGTAAATTAGCCTGTATTTGTTGATTGATAGTATCATACTCTCCAACATTCTAAGCAAAGTCTACCACGAACGATGATTTTATCTTAATATATTGTACCTAAAATATATATTTAACATTATTAAGACAAGTAAACTTTTGTTTTTAATTTATATCAACAAAAATTATTTTGCGAGAAAATAACGTGTATCATTTTATGCCTGTTGTCTTCGGTTATCGTAAACAGATTAAATACCAAATATACGTGATCAAAATATCTCGGACAAAGGTTTGTGATAAAACTTGGACTGTAAGGAAAGTGTCAGTTGTCAACATGTCTTTTTGACTTCAACAAGAAGGCCAAAATGGGTTAAATTTTATGTCATCTAGAGTGTAAATTAAGAAGAAAACCAGCGTTATCACTCACAAAGATGTCTTTCAGTATAAACGTCGAAGTAACCTGCGCATCCGAAATGTAGAACCGTATTATGACACAGATATTTCATATGTGTGATGGTGTGAACAGTATTTTCGACGACATATTGGTGCATGGTTCATCAAGGAAGGAAAACGATGATAGATTAGACAATGCATTACTTTACTCCAAGAACGAGGCTTGAACTAACTATGATAAGTGCCAGTTCCGTCATCCTTAAATTGAATCTATGGGACACATATTGTCAGAAAAAGAAATTTCGTTATCGGACAACAAAGTTAAGCCAATATTAAATGTACGACGACCGGGAACTGCGACAGAAATGATGACTTTTCTTGGCCTGGTAAATATTGCATGAGGGGGTCCCATTAAGGAAACTAGCTCGAAAGGAGGAATCTTTTGTTTGGAACACAGAACAAGAATCGGTTTGTTACAAGAACACGATGGTCAGCAACATGTGATATGGTTTGCGATTCGAAGCTATTTGCAAACCGTAAAGGCGGCTCTCGCATTAGGTGATCATCGACCACGAAAATGTGGAGTAAATACTATCCATAATGGACTGGTTGATGTCAGGTTTACCGTGAAGACCTGTTCCTATGGAACATAGATTGTGCGGCGGCCAATTTTTATGCGATCAGATATCGGATGTTATTAATCACAATGTCACTCTTTTTGGTGTTGAATGAAGATCGGTTATTGCAGGAGTGTATATACTGCATGCAGAGCACAATTTAGGTCCATGCGATAACTGGTCATAAAAGATACAATGTATATTATCAGATTCATATGTAAATCCTGCGTATATGGAAACACACCTTGTTGTTTTTGGGGGCATTTAGAATGTTATTGACAAAATATTTACATTATGTTAGTGAAAATGTGGTACCGTGACTAATGCCTTTGTTAATCTAAAAGGAGTTGCTCGGGCAAACCTCCAACATAGGCCGGGGGCGTTAGTTTGTAACTCTGCAATTAGCTCTTAGGCACTAGGATTTATGTCAACAAACAGACCGGTTGTTGAGCGGGGATCTACTGCTTGATTGATGCATTTCTCTACTATTTGGCGATGTGTGTTTTGGAAACTTATCATTGAGCGGATATCTACTGCTTGATTAATGCATTTCTCTACTATTTGGCGAGGAAACCTAATACATATAACGTATTATGCAGAATGAGAATGACCAAATATTGTAGATCTGTGTTATACCTTGGAAGAAAATTAGTCCCTCTGCTGTATTATTTTGTTGTTGACATGGACTGATTTACTACATGGAACGCTTTTCTCCTCTACGATATCACATTATCTTGGGAGTTTTCCCTGAGTTGGTCAGTGCGAGAGATTCCCACACTAGACTGTGGTTCCAATTTAGTTTCTGATGTAAAAATGGGTGTAGGGGCAGTTGTTAATTGGCCACTTACACGAATCGGGGTCCATAGCAAGAGGGAGCGAGAATGTTCACGTGCAGGTTAAACGGTGTTTTATAGGGCGTTAAACCTCTGTCAATGGCAGCACCTAAACTATTCATTTTTTCTTTCAGTCCCGATCGAGGAATTTCTGCTTCCAACAAATTAAATAACACCATATGGTCATATGACGACAGATGCATGCGATATTTCGTTGTCAAACCGGCCGTAAGCCTGTTTTGATATATGGCTGTACTGTTTGTTCTTCGTCAGACAAAGCGTTTGAAGCAGACGAATAAAGTGATGAGATTTGAAAGGGTGTAAGCCAACGGTAAAACCGATTTTTTTTAAATTTAAAACAAAACCACTGGTTTGTCATATAAACCTTTATCATAGCATTCTCAAACAAGGCCAGATTGTTACGTGGATGTTAGCTTTCATGGTCAAATGAAATACACCTTATCTGGTTATGTTTATATAATAGTAATGCAAAGCAAATGGAAAGGCATAAAAGTGTCAAGAGTTACTTATAAATGAATACTTATAAGTCAGTAGTGTAGAGGTCAAGAGGAAACGCCAGTAGATAGATCAGATAAATATTTCTGTGTTGAATCTCAATAACGAAGGCAACAGACCAAACATTGTCAAACTATTAAATCCTGCATTACATTAACAAGAGCAGCTTGAGGCAATTGGGGTAAGATTGGTAGGTATTGTATAGTTATTATAGCTTGTGATAGATCTTATATACAAACTCCATTCACTTGTACTAATAACTGTATATGGATGTAGGCAAATATGTACATACATGTTAGCTATATTTACATAATAGCCACAGGTGCCTTCCTGTTCATATTTGTAAATATATTTAGATGTAAAGGAGAAATGCATTTGTATTCTGCGGGGAAATTGACCAATCATGGTCGTGGAAATTGATAAATAAATTTCGAAGTACAGTGGCGATCAACCTCTAAATTTTTATGAATATTTTTCCAACTGAACTTAAGCTTACTCTCCCTAGTTTGAAACATAGGGGCTCAGAAATCCAAGTTATCAAAATTATTAGGGTCTATTTTTTCTGACTGATTTAATAATCGGAGACGAAAGCAAATCTAGGGGACGAGAGCTACATTGTATTCATTATTTTACAGGTTATTCCACGAATTCACACACAGTTCCATTTTCGTATGATTAATATACATCGTTTAGTGTTAAAAATGGATAGCAATTGAAACATGTACCGATAATGAAGTCAAGAATTATCTTCATAACCAAAGACTAATAGAGTGAATGCTAGGTACTTATCACTTAGTCCAGCTTGATCCTTTCAAGCGGGATCATGCAATTCCCGGGATATTGCTTCCAACATGAATTTGAAAGATTTTTTAAGTAAGGATATGCTGATTAATGCAACATATCAGGCCATGAACACACTTGAAAGTGTACTTATAAAAAGGACTCCTTATTGTGCATTGCATGTATCATGGTAAATATAGACAAATTACAGAAACAAAGGGTAGACAACCAAACCTTCAATCACCATCTAAACCCGCACTTGTTGCAGCTTAAATATCTTGGCTGCAAGAAAGAAACCCGATACATTTTCAACGGTTTGACATTTATAAGGTAATTAATTTTACCTCCAACAAAGAATCATTGTTTTGGTAACTGTGTTGGATTGTTCCTGATACGGCTACAGATTTTTCCATTCCATCAGTATTTTGAAGGATTCATTGGATTACTCCTGAATCAAATGTGTTTTACATTTGTTTGTTGGATTCTGGTTTTCAGATACTTTTCCCCAATCAAATTCAACAGAGACAACTACAATTGGATAAGTGGCGTTTAAATCGGTTATATTTACTGGATTACAATATAGAGGTTAATTGTGAAATTCCTTTTAAAATTTGATGATGCCTATCTATGACTATCCTTTATTAGGAAAGTAGCTGTCCATTATTGAGATCAATAATGAAATGCCAATTGTGAAAAGCGACCGTTTATTAATGAATAACCACAGGCAATATCAGTATATTTCTTCATTGCACTAACGTACGATAGGAACAAAGAGTGACGTATAAAACTAGTGATGACCCTGACCACATTCTCCCGCAGCAGACGATAACCATCATTGAAGTTCAAAAATGAGGATGGGGTTTTCAAAGCGATATTTATTTGCTCAATTACAGCGACTTAATGAAATAATGAAGTTACTTCACGTCAGGTTTTCCACTGAAAACTGTTGTTCAATTTACCTTCTGTGATTGTGAGAGAGTATTATGAAACACACTGGGTGCGATGCGAATAATATATACCATTATCGATTTCCACAAATCAAGTGTCGAATGTCGAACTCGGCAATTCAGATTAAGTGTCGGGGGAAATAAATGCAAAATGAAAATTCTTTTTAGATCTATCATTTGTACATGTAACCGTATTTTGTCATGTCCGGTCTACATTTTCTTACCTCTGTTTGACATTAACACGTCTTAGTTTTAAAATGTATCAATGCGAATATAGGCAAGACCAGGAATCTGGTGCGAGACACTGAGCATTTATATTTACATTTGCATGGCATCGTCACTATATAGGCTATTTGATAGCTGTGTCGTTGATGGGACTTTAAAAACTAAGCACCACGAGACATAATTCTTAGCGTATCAATACAACACCGGCCGGAACTACAATATCCAATGTAAATAAACATGACGGCTACTGAAATATCGCTGGGCAATGTGGGGGCTGACAATGTAATTTTAAATGTGCAAAAAAAAAACAATATTAAAAAAACCCTTACATTACAAAAAAACAAGACTAAGGTTTGCGATATCGTACAAAATCCACATAGGTTTAAAAAAAAATGCAGGTAATGGAAACAACTTTAAAATTTATCAGAAATATCGTCTGTTACATTTGTGGGCTGTTAATCTATATCCAGTTGCTGGAAAGACAAGCATATATCAACAATACTGGACCTCTTTTTCGTCATGGAAATAGTACAACGAACGACAGGTTTAATATTTTTGGAAATGTTGTTCATAGGTAAAGTATTTTGACACAAAGGTTGCCGAGGGCTTGTTGAATAGCAGTATACACTTTGAAATCATACTAGATCAATGTTTAACAACGGACAATAGGGGAGATCGAAAAATTATTTTTTTNCCCCCCCCCCAATACCTGGTCAGCAGATAAATGTTAAACATAGAAACATTGCATAAGGGTGAGCGCTTCCAACGTCTTCAAAGACACTCACCAATGAAATAAAGGTCAAAACCGAGCAAAACAGAGTAATATCAGGTCAGCAAAGTGAAAGGCGAGAAAGTGAAAACAAAATAACATAGCCCACTAATAAGCATTAGAGCAGTTTCCAATGAGATCATTAAACCTGCATGTTGTTTTTATTTGTCATTGTCAATGAAAAAGAAGAAAAAACAAAAACAAGCATCATAGAAACTTTTCAATCTTCAAAAGAAGTTTGGCTTTCATATTTTTTTTTATTATGAGGTACTTCATATTTTCCTTTAAAGTATGTAGCGATCATAACTTTATAGTTAGCTGCGTGATCGCACACCGATACACGTTACACAATAAAAATCTGGAATAATAGCGTAGTTGAGGTATAATAAGGGCAAGCATGTGAACGAATATTTCTTAGTTAAACTAATATCTTTCATGATTTAACTTTTTTGTCATAGTTCCACCAGATTTAAACGGTGATCTTTTTATAAAACAGAAATGGACACATCACGTACCAAAATTGTTATTAAACGACCTAATTGACAAGTGTGTATACATATGGTCTTATAAATACACGAACAGTACATTCAAATGTAAAATAAATAGCTTTTCCTGTTACAGGTTATCAGTAAATTACCAGGTAACGGGTACATTTTTGTATGACTAGTCCACCGTGAAGGAGGTATTGAAGTTCCACACAAAGCTTAACAGAAGCAATCTCTATAGTTAAGGTCCAGTTATGTTTGATAACTGGTCCCAATCAACTCCATGCAATTGATAACGTACCTGTTTCATCATTTCTTGTTTGTTTTCCGCTCCGTTACAAAGCAAGTAAAGCACAAAATGTTGTTCACGAGAAACAAGTTCTGCAGACTGCTCGCTCCGTTAGGTTACGGGCTATATCTTACATACAATGTAATGGCTACTAAAACGCAATTTGTAACAAATACATGTACACCGATCACAAGTATTCCCCTCGTTGTCATTGCCTTACGTGTACGTAGGTCGCTACGTTTAGACATGTTAGCTATGTCGGTAAGCACTCACTCGTACTTACGTGGCATGTGAACATTGGTAATTAACAATTAGGTTGATATCATTGTGAGTTATTTTCACTTAATATTTTCATGGTATACCGAAAGTTACGTTCATCATACTAATGTCGTCTATCATGGTTTGTCCTCAGGACGTACAATTACTTTGAGTAGCGGTAGCCCTTGAGGTCCCCTACGACGAATTAGGCACGAGAACGGTGAAAAACAAAAACGGCAGAGCTATAATGCCGAAATTAGGTTGGATGTTGTTAGGTATACCGCAGAAACTTGAAATCGGGAGGCTTGTCGACAAAATAGTATGTCATGTTGTTTGTAATAATTGTGATGTATTTGATTTGATAAACATCAGTTAGCCCGAAGAGGACATTTCTAAATGTCTATACATGTATAGCCCGCGGGCAATATACCCGAAATTACTGTACGAGTCCTGTACCTGGCGGTACAACCCGATTATTTACAGTTTTAGAGGCATTGTGATAATATTTAACCGGCATCGAAGACTAGAAACTTGTAAAATATAACAATCGAATATTAAATACTAATACGATGTATCTCACTCGAGCTTTCCGGATTTCTTTATTTTCATTGCGTAACATGGACCAACGGATCTTACTATGTCACATTTATGTGCGCGTTTTATCGCAAAACGGGGCGATCCATTGTTAAATCGCCAAGTTATGCGGACTATGTGCGGACTATGTGCGGACGAAGTACGAACGATGTACGCACGATGTTTGCATTATGTGCTCATGGTAATTTTGGTGCGCCGTGCGATCACACAATTGTATTATCGAAACGAAGAACAAATATCACAAAAATGTTAAAATCGGGTATGTTATACAGACATACAATTAAGATATTAATGATTGGAGTATTTAAATCTGTTGGTTGTCGTGGAAACTGTATTTTTAATTCTACCTGTTATACATTATTGATATATTTGTTACAGCCTCAAGCTTCACGAAAGGTAATCTTTTAATTACGAGTTCCACACAGGTTAATCCGGATTGTCCGCCAAATTCCACCCTTGTATTTGTACATCTTGTAAGATAGACTTTCTCCATCGTCGTTGGGACCCCATTTCCGCGATGGAGCGACTAATGTCATGATCTTCTACAATGCAAAACGAGAGTGATGATTTATCAATAGAAAAAGAATATCTTCATGGTAGTAGCACAACTGCCAATAAAACAAATAAACACCAAGAAAATAACGACTTATCAACAAAACTGTGTTCAAAACTCAAACTCCATAAACTAGGGCAAGATATAAGCAAAAAGTGAATAAGAGATTCATGTAAAACTACAAGGAGAAAAAGACCATCTAACCTGGAAACGCTAGCGTGTTCCGCTTCATCGACGACATCTATATGTAAACCTTGGTCAAATCCAAGATATATCACGTTCTCAAACTACGGTAGTGACAACGAAACAATGATGTCTTTTTGTAAGTCTGTCAGTATGTGTTTTAATGTTCATGAGCTTTGCAAACATTATTTCACGAAAATGCGTATGGTTTTGTTTCAGCATTGATTGCACATTTTACTTGTGATCAATGTTACTTGATTGTTTTTTAGGGCTTTTACTTTTCAAACCACCTTAACAAATCGCTATGTGTATTTCAGTGATCAATTGACCTATCCCTTAATTGCAAGTACAATTTGTGTGGAAAAAATCAACAGTCATTTAAGTGCTATATACCAGTATAGCTCTTAATGCATTAATACCAAAGACATATGTATTTATGATATGATCATTGCATTGTAACACATTTACAGAAATTATTAAGTGACTTCCCTTTAGTAAGTCAATTTTTTGTTAGGATATCACCACTGACCTCCTTGAGTGTACCAGGTGTCTGTAAGAGTCGCTTGATGGCGATGATAGGAACCGGGATTACACACATCATAGCGATGAAAATGCCAACAATTTCGAGGTATTCTGGATACAAATATCCTTTGTAAATAGGCGGCTCAAACTTCAACGCCACAGCAACGAAGGCCAACTAGATTGCGAAAAAAGATTAATCATCGATTACTGACAAATAAAAAAACAAAACTTTTCGGTTGTTCAAGAATCCCCATTCTTTTTATTCGACCGCAATGAGCACTTGTGTAAGGTTTTGATATCGATAAAAAAGGCGGGTTCGTATTCCTATCAATTATATGTATCTGTTTTCGGAAAGATTTAATACAGAAATATGATTAACTACAATAATGTAGTGTTTCGTCTTTCGAAACATACGAACAATCCCCCAACACAAACAGAATACCACTCCAACTAAAGAATCTATAACATTCACACATTAAACTTATCACTAATGAAAAGATACTTCATCAATATTACCACACTAAATGGACAAAAGGTCTGGCTTATGAGGACAATCATTTGTTAACTACAAGTAATTCCTTCCGCATATATTGCAAATAATGTGAACTGTGATTCGCGAATTGATAGGTAAATTTCAGACGCCAATCTTCCTGAACAATGGGAAACAAATGCAGTGGGGTTTTTTTCGACATATAAATAAAATTCGTTCAGAGCCTTTGGTCCTGATGTCATATTTAAAGGATATATGTGACACACTTACAGGTGATTGTACCTTAGAAAATTGTTCTAGATACAGAATTTCAAAAAATTAAATACACTGCATCATACAACTTGTCCGTCATTTAAGTACTCATAGATCGCTATAATGTTTTTGTATACGGATCACTTACGAGCATAACAACGGGAGTCAAAATGCACCATGATATTCTGATCAGTACTGATGGTTTCCCTCCGGTCATCAACTCAATGTCCCGGCTGAACCTCTCCGCTCCTAGACAACCATTTTATTGAGATGAGTATGAGGTATGCATATTGTTAGCACACAAAAGGTCGAAACAAAAACAAAGAAACGTTCACAAACATTCACAGGAATCTAGATGAACATTTCCTTTATAATATATATAAATATAAAAATAAAAAGCACGAGTTGTTTCGACTGCCCTAGCGCTTTCACCTCTTGAAAGGTTCATCAGGGAAACTGTTTATTCTTGTTGACAGGCCAAAAACACAACACATAAAGTGATGACGTCATGATACATTATGACGTCACAATACAACCTTCCCAAATTGATACCAAAATTAACAATGCATTTTAACGTCAACATTTGGGGGAACAACAAAGATGGTGTCACAGAAATAGATACATTTATATATAGATACAGTTATGAGTTTAACAACGTTAACAATTAGCATTGATTCTTTTGACTCTCGCTGTACAGTGTCTTCTGTAGCTTGATATATAGGAATTACACGGAACTTATCATTTGCACAAGAATGAATATGCTTATAAACAGTTAAAGATCGAAGATGGTAACTTTTTTCTGTTGTCTGTGAGTGTCATACGTTGACGTAATTCACAACCAGTTTGTCCAATGTAACATTCAGAGATCTACAGTTCATATAAGCTTTTACTTTAATTTTGTTATCATTTTTGAATGTAAAGTCTTCTCCTTCAACAATATAATGGAACACATGTTACGGGAGCTCTTTTCTTTCCTGAAAACTCGTAATTATCCAGATGAACTTGTACTACACGGAATTCAAAAGGCTAGGGACAAGGGGCCTTTGCTCGTTCAACAAAACAATAGTGATAAGTGTGAAATAATACCGTTTGTGTCTTCTCACAACCCATATAACTTTAATGTGTTTCCAATTATCAAAAGCTATGAAAACTTTATGAAGACAGATGAACGTATGGGGAGAATCCTTTGCAAAAAGAAAATAATAAATTGTAAAAGAAAAATTTGAAAAGATTATTGTGTTCTTCTAAATTTATTGGTTCTAAACAAAATATATGTTTGTCGAAATGTAATCGTCAATTTTTAACTGTTTATAAGCATATACATTCTTGTGCAAATGATAAGTTCCATTTAATTCCTATATATCAAGCTACAGAACTGTACAGCGAAAGTCAAAAGAAGCAATGTTAATCGATATATTAAAACCTGGTTTAAATTGTTCTCACAGCACAGATCGTTGCACGAATCAACATAGAGAACGTATGTGTACAAATCTGTTGTTATACTCATGCCTGTAACCATATATACATGTTTCTATTTCTGTAACACCATCTTTGTTGTTCCTCAAATGTTGACGTTAAAGTGCATTGTTAATTTTGGCGTCAATTTTGGTAGGTTGTATTGTGTTGTCATAACGTATGATGACTTCATCACTTTTTGTGTAGTGTTTTTGTCCTGTCAACATGAATAAGAGGAGAAAGCGCTAAGGAAGTCGAAAAAAACTCTTGCTTTTTATTTTGTTATATTCAACCATCACAAGGATTTTCGAAATGTTTTTCTGATTATCTAGTTTAGAACGATTAGACAAAAAACATTAGAATATAAAACAACGCGGGTAAACGTGGCAATTGGGTTTAAGTAAAAGATATTCCAATGGAAATATTTTTGAACAACAAATATAATTACAAAAGTGTCGTAGCTAATTCCTACTTTGTACAAAATAACTGAATGATGCATAGATAAGATAAGAAACACTATTTCAGTTTTATTATTAGAAAAAGTAGGGGCACCGAAGTGTTATGTTCATTCGAAATTAATAAAACTCGGGCAAAATATGGACATAGGCTAATATTTCAGGGTGCGATTGCAATCATTTAAAAGTGCAAGGAGAATAATATTTGATATTCAAGAAGGGTGAACGTCTTTTTCTTTATCGACGAAGCTTGTTTTTAAATCTTGGTCAAATCCAAGTAAGACATAGATAATTTGTGTAATGAAAACTATGCTATATGTCACTTTAATGTGAAGCTATTCATATCGCACAATACTACAGTATCATGATGGTGACCTAGACACATTTTGAGGTCTTTATCAATCCATATATTTCAAAATCCTGTGTTGTAAGTTTGTCCGTTACCATCAATCACCTGATATGGATATCGTGGTACACTTTGTTTGTGGTATGCGTTCTATATTTTACTGAAGTCGTGAACATTACTTCTTAAGCTTGCATATGATGTATCACCTGATCAAGAACGTTCATATCAACAAATGATGACAAGAATGAACAGTCGTGAAGATAATGTCATGGATGTGAAACAATATCTCACTTATATTTATACTTAAAACTGTTTTCACTTCAAATGTTGTATATCATATCATCATCTCACTAACAAGAGTTTATTAAACAATTTGTTGGTGACTCCTACCTGTACACGACTAGTCTATGTAATTAGCCTTTTCGAAACATTAAATGGTAATGACTTATTGTGTTAATGACTATCAAGAACATTTAAAGTAAAAAAAACTCGTTACGATTTCTACGATTGTCTATTGAATGCTTGGCTTAATCAAAGGATTTAGCGTCACATCGACACGGTGAAAACTGGTAATGAATAACAAAAAGAAAGAAAACAGAATGTACAAGTATTTAAGACATGTTCATCTATTTGATGATTACATATGTTCCTGGACTGGACAGGAAAAGTCACGACTAGTGCCACATGTGATACAGAAGGAACTATTCATCCTTTTCTGTCTCATAATTCTTTATTTGCTAAATATCATATTTCAATTCCTATTTGAAAGGGGGAATCAATAAACAAAATTTATAAATATGATACGTTTTTAAGTGACATAACTTTTTATGCTAAATATAGTTTACGATTTATGCATTAATGAGCATATTTGAATGTATTGTAATTACCATATAACCAGCCGGCGATAATACACTCCAGAAAGGACAAGAAAAAGATGCAAAATGCCGAAAGGTACCAATCAAGAAACTGAAATATGTAGACGCCTCCCTGTCAAAATAGAACATTGTCAAGATGGAATTGTTACCATATTAACACAAATCAGTACTGAATAGTATCAATACAAAGAACAACAACCCTGAGCTCCCGTTGATTAGACTCAGTATATCAATACCAGAACCACAGAATTACTGAGTTTTTAATAATGTTAAGACGTAACGTCTATAAAATGCATTTTCGTTAAGGTGATTCATGGATGAGTTTGGATAGCTTTATCCCCCAAAAGGGGCGGTTTATTTCTTAGAAGTATCATTGCCAGAGTACATTGTTTGCATTAGCATATTTTGTTCGCATTTCGATCAAATATCGATCGCTTGCATGATCCCTAGATCTGTGCATACTTGTGTGGTTAATTATATTTTCCACGTCCTGTATATATTTAAACGTTGACAAGTCGAAGCAATTATACAATATTATGATTTCAGATTTGTACACTATTTAGTATCCGTGCTAACGTATGCTTGAGCACAGGTCGCCTGGATATACATATTCAATCGATGCATGTTTTGTACCTTTTTGCAATAGGTCAATGTCAACAGTGCACTATTGAAAGTAACATCTTACCTGTGTTGCAAATACAATACTTGTGACAAAGAATAGTATAAAGACAACGACGATAGCATGTTGCTTCCTTTTACCGATCACTTTGGGGTACATATCAGCAAACCCACTGATGATCGCTTCAACTGTAGCAAACTATGAAAAGAACAAAAAACGATCGCATTAGACCATGGGATGTACTGCAGTTATCAAAGTGGCATACTATTTGTACATTATGACGTCACATTATCATTTAACGTCGCGTTATTGTTATTCCCCTCCTTGTCGTCATTTTGGTATCGTACTGTCTTATTGTAGAACGTTTAGAAATGTCCCATATTATACACTGATTTGCTGGACAGTATTTGTCATTTCATTAAGATATGTGTATGGCAGTGTTGTCCTTCCTCCCTAAACAGCCCAGTTTTACCATGAGAATGATTCCTACCTGACTGTCGAGACCGACGGTGAACAGCATGAAAAAGAAAATGACGGCCCACAAGTGAGGAAGAGGCATGCGGGCAAGGACCTCCGGATACACTAAGAATACTAGACCGGGACCTGCAACAGAGTGGTATTTCCAGAATGAATTACATTGTATGGAGAAAGACACACTGACAACATTATCTTTTCAATACTATATATACAGGAGCTTGTGTGGAAGGAAAAGACATATACATGTGCACTATGTAGTTGTTTATGCTAAATAGCGTTTACAAAGTACTGTAAAAGCATAATGTTTCGTTTGGTATTTAATTTCCTTATTATGTGGTTTTATAAAAACAACGAAAAGGGTGAATAGTGTAAATAAAGCAGTTGTCGTCAGTTGTTGTAATACTTGCATTGAAATCGGCCTGATATTCTCACATGATTTGTCAAGGTAACCGCGAATATTTATGTCAAGCATGCTCGTTTTCTTATCAGAATTTGTGTTATAAAATGTCGGTTGGCCTAATTATTTCCATTTTAGATAGCTATTACGTACCAAACATATTCGTTAAGACTAAATAATATGACCATCGAGGGATGGTCGATCTATTGTTTCCCACTAACTGGGGTGAAGCGAGATGTGAAAAATTCACTTCGAGTGGACAGGTGCTCACCTCGAGCGATGTACAGTTAGCCGGACCAAATGTTCAGGTGTCAAACAAAAAAACCCAGGGTATTCAAATTTTTATTCCACGAAATATAATCCCAACGAATTTGTCCCAAAACAAAAACAACAAAATTGTAAATATATAATCTTATCAAAGTATAAAATACTTAAATCATATGATTTGATCAAATGCAATTTAAAGTATGTAATAACACATATTTGACCCTGTAGCCTAGGATGACCCGTGATATCAAGGTAGGTTGGTAAAATAAAGTATAAATGAATTTTTTCTAACTTATTAATAACTGTTTGTTAATGAAATTGAAGAAAAAAAATGATAATTGTTTAAATGTACATATACTATATTAAAGTTTGGTGTTATTAAATATAAGTACATGTAGTAATATAGGTGTATTTGTCAAAACCTTCAATGTGATTAGGGAGTTACCTTGTCTAGCATGTGCCTGAATAACCAACCTGATTCTGCTACTTCTTCAATAGAAAGACCGGCTTCGTGAGCTAGGACTCCCAAGATGGAGAATACAACCATCCCGCATAGGAAGTTACTGAAGGTATCGACACCGACGATGAGCATGACGCTTCTGTAACAAAATAAGACAGACAAAAATATACCACAGCGTCGGCTTGCATAAAACAACACCAAAAAAATAAGACCATATAAGAAACCAACATACTTTATAGGGAGGTGCGCATGCGCGGATAGAGGAAGTCGTGTTTTACAACCGAGAGGATAACGAAGTACGAAATTAACAAATTAGCCAACAAACTCACCATCGGTAAGTCCGAAAACCAGCCCCAACATACCACCTTACCATGACGAACCTGGCAGACGCCATCTTTATTTTACGACCAAATATAGTTTATATTGTCCGAGAACAAACTAAGAAATTTCCTGACAAAAAAATCACCACCCACTACGGGAAAATGACATCATCCGCCCGTCCTACTATCAGATGAGAGGCTACAAAATCTTGGCAAAAATTGAAACGGAAAAAATAATACAGTGTTGGTCAAAAAGTGGAGTAAAACCAGAGGACACTGCCCGTTGGCTACAATTCAACATCACAAGGAAAATCACCCAACATGGTGACATATGGCTATACGTGTGGTTAGGTACATGTGACCTTGCAACGAAGGATAACAGATTTATCATACTGAGATCAGAAACGGACGACGAAGTCAATAAAATATATAATAGTCTCAAAGAAATAGTACAGACAGTTCAAAACTATCCTGGATCGAAGATCACCATACTTGAGATACCAATATCTTCAATCAGCTAATGGAAACAGCACAAAGGCCATGAAAACCCCGACCTATTCTCCAGCCAAGACAAAATCTTGCAAGACCAAATCAATAATAAAATCAGACAGCTAAACAGCAGCCTTGAAAGTCACTCCCCAACATTCTCACCAGACTTTAGTGCTACATCTAAATACCGCAGTGGCAAAGACAGGAGACTTAAGATCAGGAAGTATTACAACTCATACTCCTCTTCCACATCAACGATCTACCAGACTCCGTCACATCTAAAGTTCGACTTTTCGCCGACGACTGCCTACTCTACCGCACCATCGAAACTTTTGAAGACCACACACTCCTACAAAAAGACCTAGAAAACCTGGAGGAATGGGTCAAAAGATGGGGAATGCGTTTCAATGCCAGGAAATGCTACATAATGAGCATGAGCAAGAAAACATCTAAATTTTACACCTTCAACAACCACACCTTAGAGGAAGTACAAGACAACCCCTATCCTGATTTACAAATATCATCAGACCTAACATGGACCACACAAATAAGCAAAGTAGCCAAGAAATCACAATCAACTCTGGCCTTCCTAAGCAGGAATCTTAAACACTGCACCTTGGAATATAGGAAAACAGCATATACCTCAATGGTAAAATCTGTAAAGGAATACGGCGCCACTATATTGGATCCATACCAAAAATCCGACAAGGACAAACCAGAACACATCCAGCGCCGAGCGATACGTTTCATCAAACAAGAGTACAAGACCAGAGAGACAGGATGCATAAACAAGATGGCACAAAATCTTGAGCTGCAGACACTAGAATGCAGAAGGAAAAGCCTCCGACTAGTGCTCTTATATAAGGTGGTTGAGGGGTTGGTCCCGGCACTACCCCCTGAAGTTTTTTTGATCAAATCAACAAACAGAAGACATATCAGAGCAAAGAAATTCAGTGGCTGCGTCACGAACCATATCGTAACAAAACATGTTAAAAACTTAAAAACGACTCAAAATGTTTTGAAATCCAGCAAGCCTAAACAAACCAATACACGAACTCATACTTTGTGAGAACTGGCATAGACTGGAACCAACTGGATGAGCAAAAAGTCAGTGNCCCCCAACCCCCCTGTCCTTCATCACACCAGAATTGGGTTCTAACGACGTACAGATACAGATAACGGGAATTTTTTGCTGCATTTTAATTTTTGAGTTTTTGTCCATACTTCAAGAGGGCGAATTTATCATTAAAATGAATGCTAGTTAACAACAGGATATGTATCTAAATCTAAACCGATGAAGGGCGAAAGTTTGACTGGGCGAAAATGTCCCGCTATACTGTGTCTCGTTTAGGCCATTTATCCCAAAGCCACATCATGATGCTATAAAATTCGACTAGGCAAACGTAGAAACAAACATGATGTAGATGTAAGGTCTCCATGCAAAACAAAATTGATTATTGTTTATATATAAACCGCTACAAAACCAAAAAGTCATAAAAACAGTAGAAAACCGGTTCATGTCAAATAGTAAACAAAGATATAAATGTTTTTGTCATATTGTTGACACAGTTGGTAAACAGTTAGCAGACCTACCTTGTCAAACTGTAAATAGTGCTTGCCCACTGAATATTTATTGGTAAATGTTGATGTCAAGGAGTAAACAGTTTATAAACGGTTAATGAGACTTAGATCAATTAATTGAGTTTGCGCAATATACCAGATATAAAAATAGTTCTGTTTTAGTTACCATAGACGTCAAAGGTTACTCTTCAGGAAGACATCTTAATGACCGAGGTGACGACATATTGTATGCTAGTGGGGTATTTAAATATTTAACTGCTTTCATTTTGCATTCATGGTCAATATAAATGCACACTAGAACGTAACAGATTCCATAAAACGCTTTGTGTTGGGCTTTTCTAATCTGCATTAATATTGATTATGAATGCCATCTCAAAGCTGTTACGTTTTTAAACATAACAAATCTGACTATCATGCCTGTATATCGTGAAGGACAATGTGGTGTTGATGGGCTATCATGCCCCATCATATACACCCTTTAGTGCGCGATATATGACCCTTTGTAATATATGTGAAATCCAACCAGTAATGCTTGATAATTATGTATGTCGATTCCATTGAGTTGATCTACGGGTTTATGTTATACATGTTATAAAGATGAACATCGCAATCGAATTTATAAAAACCACGAAATATAATCCCAACGAAATTTTAAGCACACATATATATAAACTCAACGAAAATATGAAATAAACATTAATTCAATTACAAATCCATGGTGTATTTATATTTATACACCAGTCATGATAAACGATGTAATCACTTATAACTAAAGTGTGTCAATGATTAGTATGTAAACTATATAGAGCATGACGGGTGAGCTAGATTTAATCTCGCCCGGTCTTATCTGTACCTCGCAAGGCATGCGGTTAAAACAACTTGTATAGAAACAATAACAAAAACAACCCACTAAATATTCCCTTTTTAAAAACATCAAATATCCTATTCAACGAAAAGGGTGTATAGCGTAAATAAAGCAGTCGTCTTCAGTTGTTTACGACAATATCGTTAAATTTGGATCGATTTCCGGCACCATGCTGTCATGATGGCATGACCCGATTTTGACACTTTTTCAATGGAGACACGGGGAAATAAACTTCTAGTGCAATAGAGAAACTATTGCTTAAATTAAATTAACAATACACGTCTACCTTCTGGAGTAATGATGAGTCGAGGTAACGGTGAATATTTATAAAAGCATGCTCGTTTTCTTATCAGAATTTGTGTTATAAAATGTCGGTAGGCCTAATTATTTCTACTTTAGATAGCTATTACGTACCATACATATTTATTTAAACTAAATTATATGTCATCGAGCGATAGTCGAACTCTTGTCTTATCTGACTTGGGTGAAGCGAGGTGTGACGAAATCACCTAGAGTTATCAGGTGCTCGCCTCGAGCGATGTTCAGCTAGCCGGACCTATTGTCTTATTTTCAGGTGTCAAACAAAAAAATACAGGGTATTCAAATATTGATTCCACGAAAAAAATATCCAAACGAATTTGTCCCAAAACAAAAACAACGAAATTTAACCCCAACAAAAATATATGCTTTTATAGTATATTCAAAGAGTACCAATACATATATACCTCATTATATTTCCTCTGAACTTCTGATAGCTGGCCATCGTGATGACGCCTCCCCAGATAGGTCCGAGCGAGTAGAACACCTGTAAAGCTGCCTCTAGCCATACCTTATTCGACAAGAAAAAGGAAAATTTGAACTGTGTTTAATCTTCATTTTCATATCTGCCCAAGCCCCATTCTTGCACATATTTCAAGGGAAGCCAATATGAACTATAAACTACTTATAATACTTTGTGTCACAGCCTTTCTGATGGACATTGCCAACTTAAGGGATAAAATATTTATCTATAGAATAAAAGATATTGAATGAAATGAAGGAAGTCGCTTTGTAGAATGCTCTCAGACGTAGAAACCTCAAAGTTAAATTCAAATTCATTCTCGTCACTCTAATGTATTCAAACCCAATCTATTATGCAAATCTACGGTATAAACAACGATGTGAAATAAGATATAAAGTGAACCCTTTTTAAAACTTTGTGTTTATGTTTGGACATGTGTCAGAAAATGTCTTCAAAGAATTTGTTTTACAAACATTTGACCCCGCGCCGTCCCATTGCAACAGTGTTAGAGGGCAAGTGTAATTAAAAAGGCTATAATTACAACTGCCTGTTTCAGGTATAGGAATATGTAAACAAACAGAATGGCCGCCTGAAATGTATTTTGAGGCAGGGCAAATGGTTTTTGTAGGAATATGTCTTAAAAAAGAAAAATATGTAAATATAAAAAGTACCTGGCTGTTTGGATGTAATTATTGTTGATATAATTACAAGTAGCCTCTGGCAAATCTACCATAAAACCCTCGATTTGCCAGAGGACACTTGTAATTATATCAACAATAATTACATCCAGACAACCAGTTATTGCTTAAATAATTAAACGGTTAAAGAACAAAATAATAACAGTTTACCTGGAAGTGCCATAGTCTGGAAAAATCTGGTGATAAATACATGATAACTCCATCCAAAGATCCTGAGAGACACAGACTTCTTACCAGTATTGTAATTAGTAGGAGGAACGGACCAACAACGGTCACATACACAACCTGGAAAAATACCATTTTACAAATTGTTACTATTGCTAGATCATTAGTTAACTGAATCAAACCATTAATAACCTACAAGAAGAATGTCTCACCTGTTTGTTGTCTCACAAATTCCTCATAAGATGTAAGTAAATATCATTAAATAGAAATGGTTCAGCATCATGTTGTGACATTTGCACGCTATATAGGTATCACTAGCCAAATTTCAGTTTCTCTCTGGCTTTGATGGATAACGTTGTCTAAAGTTTCGCTGGCTATGATTTGCTTTGATTTGCTATGAATGGCGTTACATATTGTTTTTTTATTTACGTCATATCAGTATCTATTACGTAAACAAAATTTACCGCCCCAACCACCACCCCATCCCAACAAAGT